CGAGGCCACAGGCTAACAAAGGGGGAGGGGGAGGCTGCCTGCCCCCCCCAACCCTGGAGCCCCCAGACCCACCCAGGATCCCGGGACTCCCACCCGAGAGAGCAGGTGCGCGCCCCCCCCCACCCAGGGTTTCCCCGAGGCCCAGGACCCCGTGGGGCCGGAGGCCCGGGCCCTGCCCCTCAGCACGGCGGCCACTGAGGGGGAGGACGGGCCAGCCTGCATCTCACCACCTCACCACCGGCTGCCCTTTGCTCCCCCCAGAAAGGTGGGAGGGGCCGGGGGAGGGGAAGGCTGTGGCATTCCCCTCCCCCGCGGACAGCTCTGCTCCTGCCCGGGCCTGTTCCCAGACACACAGGCAGGAAGGGCTGCCCGCTGGCGTGCTGGCGGGGCTGGGATCCAGGGTGGGTGGCCTTGGGCTGCAGCCCTCCCCGACCCCCCGAGCCCCTGGGCTGTGGCCTGACCCCAGAGCCCCCGAGGGCCACGCCGGCAGTCAGAGACCCTCGGGGCTGGCACCCAGCGCCCGGCACGGAGGTGTCACTCGGGCCGGTGCTCACGGGCCCCACACAGGTCTCGAGCCTCTGTCTGAAACCCCTGGGAACCAAGCCAGGCCTCGGGGAGGGGGGTCCGGCTTCCAGGAGACAGGAGAGGTGTCCTGCCTGCCGTCCAGGGGCTGACCCTGGGGAGCCCCCGGCCTGGCCCGTCTCCCTACCCACGGCCCGCCAGGCCGACACGTGTGCCCACACACGTGTGGGTGCCCCAGCGCAGGCATGAGCGAACACGCTTTCCTCCCAGCGCTGCTGCTACCCGGCCCGCGTGCCCCCGGCCGCCCTCCAGAGGCCTCCCCCGCCCGCCGGCCGCCAACCACGGGCTGGCGCTGCTCCTCATTACGCGGCGAGTGCACCGACTCAGCGGCCACCATCTCCTAGGCTCGCGGGCCCTGCCCGGGCCGCCTGTCCACGCCTCCCCGGGGACACACGCGGGCTCCTCCCGAGGCCGGCCTCCGAGTGCACCCAGGCTGATCCGACTCACGTCCCTGGTGCCTGGGGACAGCCTCTCGGAGCGGGGCCGGGGCAGCCATCCCCGCAGGCCCCCGAAAAGCAGGCCCCCGCCAGGAGGCCACGGGGGCAGGCAGAGGGAGGGCGAGGCCTGGCCGCGTCAGGCCGGACGGGGCAGGTCTGGGCCGGGGAGGCGGGGCCGGGGCTGAGAGCCGTCCGGGGGAAGAGCGCAGACTGTCCTAACCCCGCCTAAAAGCCGGGAGGCCGCCAGGAGAGGGGCCCGGGTGTGGGCCGCCCTCTCGGGCCTCAGCGCTGGGGTGCACAGGCTGCCAGAAAGCAGGGGGCCGGGCCGGGCAGCCTCTGAGGTCACAGGCCCTGGAGTCAGCAGATGGGGCTCCTCGGAGCCTCGGTTTACTCGTCTGCAAAGTGGGCGACGCCCCGAGACCCTCGCCCGGTGCACTAACTGGACACTGACCCCCACACCCAGCCTGCAGCCAGGGCTTGTCGCCAGGGCGGGGCGCCACCCCCTCCGGGGCTCTGAGCGGCCTCTGCTGACCGCAGGGCAGGAGGGGAGGGCGCGGCCCGGGCAGCGTGCCCCTCGTCCCGGCAGCCTCCAGGGGGCAGTCCAGAGGGCCGCCGGCGTCCCGCGTCCAGAAACGGGCAGAGCGGGGCCGTGTGGGGTGGGAGGTGGACGTGGTCACAGCGGCGCAGGGGCACAAGCTGCCACTCCGGGGAGCAGGGCGAGGTGGCCGGCCCCGAGGCCCCGGCGGGGGACCCAGGGCCATTGCATCACGCAGGGGCCCTGTCAGACCCTGGCTCCCTGGGGCCCCCGAGTGCCCCTCCAAGCCCGTCCCCGTGCCGGGGATGATGAAACCTCACCCTGGGAGCGGAGCAGAGGCAGGGCCAGGCAGCACCGGAGGCGCAGGCCGCTGCGGGGACCCACGCCAGGCACAGGGCGGGCTTCTGCCTCCCGCCCGGGACAGGGACCCTTCGGGTCCACGGGTGAACTGCGCACCAGGTGACCGGCAGGAGCCTGCTGACCGTGGCTGAGGGACAGACGCCGGGTGGAATCCAGGAAACGTGGAGGACGCCCAGGGCTCCTGAGCAGGACCTGTGCCCTCGGCGTGCGTGGTCGGAGTGAGCATGGAGAGGCCGAGATTTCCACTGGGGGGCCCGCGGGCGCCCACCCCCCTGGCAGGCAGCCCCGCGCCCGTCTCCTGCTCCAGCGCCGCCCGCTCCGCAGAGCCTGCACACGGCAGGACATGCGTGAGTCCCCGTGAGCGGCAGCCCAGAACCTTCTTGGCACCAGGAGCCAGGCCAGGTTCTGTGGCTACAACTGGGAAGGGTGCAGACAGGTGGCCCTAACCCAGGACCCCGGCGAAGGGTCCGAGAGACCCAGGACACGTTGCCGAGTGTCAGGAGGCCAGACAGGTGCCCAGGAAATGCCGGGAGACCAGAGGCAAAACCGGCCAGCGTGCACCTGTGATGGAGCACCTCGGCAGGAGCCAGCCCAGCTCCACTCACGCCCCAGCCTGTGTGTGGGGGCGGCTCTGGCCTGAGGGGGGGCCTCGGCGGTGCCGCACCCCCGGGCCTGCCCCTCACCCTGTACAGTGACAGCTGGGTGACAGCTGTCGTCACCGCTGCCGGGACAGCACTCCTCACACCGTGCTGCCTCCTCTTCCAGCCATGGCCACTTCTCCCCTGGCAGAGGCCGAGAGGCCACCCTGGGCCCAGTGCCGCCTTCCCTGCTCCCCCTCCCCGGCACGAGGAATGGCCCACCCCACCCGGGCCCCCTGAGTGGGTACCCTGGCCGGCGGCCGGCTGCCGGCCTGCGGGCGAGGAGACAAGGGGAGACCGGGCTCCCCGAGTGCAGCGAGCTGCCGCTGGGCCACCAGAGGGCACCCGGTCCGCAGAGGCCCAGCTGAGTCACACGGAGCAGGAGGGGACAGGGCTGGTGGCCGCTGCCCCGGGAGGTCACCCTGTTTGTTTTGCCCCGTGTAGGCCTGGCACTGTCCCCGGCGCCTGGGCCCCGCAGGGCGCTCTGGAGTCCCGGGGCTCCCGGGGGCAAGGGGGACACGGGGGCGGGGGTCCAACAGGCCAGCCCCCCTGGTGAAGGAGCCGTGGGGCGCTGGCAGGGAGGGGACAGTCCCCTGCATTCCAGACCCAGAGGAGGGTGGCGCCCGCAGCCCTGGCCAAGATGATGCTTGGACAGCTGCTGGGTGGCTGCACTCCCCCGGCCCGCCAGCCGGCCGGCCGGCCAGCACCCGCCCCCACCCACCACACTCACGGCAGCACACTCTGCCCGCCCTTGGCCTCTGACCCGCTGCGTCCCCCAGCCCGAGGGGGCCAAGACCCAGCCCCCCACCCCCCCCGCCTGGGCCTCTCCAGTTCCCGAGCTCTGTCCTAGTCCTCGGTGGCCCCCCAGACTCTGCCGGCCTGCCCCCGACCCGACTGGGAGGGAGTCCTGCGGGTGTGCGTTTGGGGCGGCCCCCAAGGACACGGGCCTGAGCGGGGCTGGGCTCGACCAGGGGGCAGCAGGGACGGCTTCCGCCCGAGACTCAGGGCTGGGGCAGCAGAGGGGCCCCCCACAGGACAGCCCAGGACGCCCAGGCCACAAGTGCCTCTGTGTGGGAGAGGGGGTGGAGCATGGGCCACGCCGGGCAGCTGGCCCCGAGCACCCCCAGCCCCTCCCAAGGAGAGAGGCGTCCCCCCCACAATGACTGGCCCATCCGCAGAGGGAGGCCTGACTCCGGCTCCTGAGGAAGCACCTCTCCAGACCCCGGGGGCTGTGGGGCACCGGGGTCGGGTGGATCTCGCAGGGCAGCCTGGGGAGCGCCTGCTCCTGCTGGGAGCCAGGTGGGGAGCCTGGCAGACCCCCCCCCACCACCACCAGGGAGACTGGGCTCTGGACGCCCCCTCACACTGGTGCACTCCCCTCCAGGCCCCTCAATCCGGGCCATGGCCACTCTGCGTCCCCCATGTCACTTTGAGCACGGCCCTTACCTGTCCCCTCACCCCATCTGGGAAGAGTCCCCTGGACAGGAAGCTGGTGTGCCCTGCTCTGGCCCACTGCACCCCAGGCACCCCACGGAGACCGGCGTGGCTGTCGGCAGCACAACGTGAGCATGAGGTCCGGGGGTCCCTGGGGCACTGCTCCTCGTCCCACCCGCAGGCACCGCTGTCCCCGGAGCTCTTCAGCCACCAGCAGGGAGGGGGTGGGCAGGGCTGCCAGACAGCTGCTGGGCTGAGGCCGCCTGGGAGGGTCCACGCAGTTACAAAGAAATGACACGGCCCCTGGGAGGGATCCGAGACGCCGACCACCTGCAGCTGGACTCCCGGGGAAGTGGCTCCAAGTGCCAGGCGGGCGGGCGGGCTCTCGGGCGGGCACACGTTCCGTGGGGGGCGGGGGGGACCTCTGCCAGGCAGCATTCCTGGTCACAGGGCAGAGACCGCCCCCCCCCACACCCCCAACTCCAAGGCTGCCTTTGCTGGTACCCGGCGGGAACCCCGGTCCACCCGACGGCACCTCCCGGAGAGGCCCGTACAGTCCGGTGAGAGTTCCTAGCCCGCGGCCACCGTCAGCTGCGCGGGGGGCAGCCACCACGCACGCAGGTCAGCCCTGGCCAGAGGCGAGGGTGGCTGGCGCGCCCGCTGGGTCTGGAACTCCAGCCCCGCCGCCGCCGCGCTGGAGCTGTGGCCCTGGAGGAGCGCCGAGCCAGGCCTCCCGTGCGCAGCCCAGCGAGGACAACTCCACGGGAAGGGGGACGGGGAGACAGTTAAGGGTTGGTGGCGGCGAAGCGGAGCGGAGAGAGGGCGACGCGAGGCTCCGGGGTGAGGGCCCGAGGGGGTGCGGGCGAGCGGAGGCGCAGAGCTACTCGCAGCCCGGGCGGCCGGCGCAGGCGGCAGGATTCGGAAGCCCCGGGCACGCACCGGCGCAGGGCCGACCAGGAGGGGCAGAGGCAAACCCGGGCGCACGGGGGTACGAGACCCGCAGCTCTGACTCACCGGAGATCTCCGCCTGGGGCACGTCGCTGAGGCTGAAGCCCTTGGCGCCGTAGATCTGCCGGACTTCGCTGCAGCTCCGGCTCTTGCTGGCAGGGTCCCCGTGGGCGCAGGAGGCCAGTGCGGCGGCCGCGCACAGCAGCCACCAGCCGCCGGTCCGGAGCTCCATGGTGGGGCCGAGGCGCTGCCGGTCGCCCGCCGCGCCTCTCTCGGGTACCGTGGGGCCCGCGCAGCCCCCGCCCGCGAAGGGCAGAGCCAAGGTCCCGGCGCGCGGCTCGTGGTCCGCAAGCGGCGGCGGCCGAAGAGGCGGAGACAACAAAAGCCGGCGGCAGCGCCGGGCGCGCGAGGCTCGAGGACCGGCAGCTCGATCGGGCCGCCCAGCGCAGCGGGCGAGCGCGCACTCCCGGCTCGGCACCTCCCCCGGCCCGGCCCGGCCCGGCCCCTCGGCCGCCTGGGAGAGGCGGGGAAGGCGGTGCAGGGGAGGGGCGCGCGGGGCGGGAGCGGGTGCCCGGGGCGGAGCGCGGGGCGCGACCCGGGCCCACTGGGCGCTCCTGCCCTCCGCGAGGATCTGGGGGCCCAGTGGTTCGGGCAGGCCAGTCCGCTGCCCGAAGGAGGGGAGGCGGCGGCGGGGGGGAGCGCGAGCTGCGTCCGGGGGTCCCCGAGGGCGGCCCCACGCCCAGCGCCCAGGGCGGCGGCACCACCTGTGGGGGCGGGGCGGGAGGGGGCGCGGAGGCCGGGCTTCCCCGCCGGACGTGACGTCACGCCACCCGTGCGCCTATCAGGGGCCTCCGGGCCCACAGCCGAATTCAGCATCCCTCGCATCCCGCCCCCACCGGCTCGCCCGGCTGTCCTGCACCCTGGCAGCGCGCCTTGGTCAGCTCCCGGGCGCCCGCGTCCCCTCGGCACGCCGCCCACACCGCCGTCCGCCGCCTCCCTCCTCGCCTGCACCCCTTTACCCCACCCCCGCCCTACTCAGCGCCTCCCCCACCCCTCCTGTCACACCTGGTGTTCTCGCGGGGGACGGCGGGGGAACTGTACGCGGGAAAGTAGCCAGGAGCCTCAGCCCCACCCGCTCCTTGCTCTACAGAGGGGCGCGGACGCTGAGTTGTCGGAGGTCTCCAGCCTGCGCTTGGTGCCCTCCACGTGGTTCTTGGGATGCTTGAGAAACAAAAGCCCCGCGGACCATTGGCCTGGGCTGCTGGGCGGCGGCAGGGGGTCCCTTGGAGAAGGGACGAGGTTGGACAGAGCAGGTCAGACTGCTGAGTAAGGAGGAGCGGGGAGAGAGACCGGCCGCCTTCGGTCCGGTGGCTCCTCCAGGTCTTTCTCCCTAGGCTGCTGCTCCCCTCCCCCTGGCCTCGTCCTCTCCGCTCGGCCCATGGGCGAACCCCACGGAGACCAGCGGTCTTGGCGGGGCCCCAGCCCCGATGCCTGGCTGATTGGCCGAAATGGGAGGGAAGCAGTAGGTTGGTGCCCTTGGCCGAGGGCCCTCAGATAACCACCACGTGGCGGGGGGCGGGGGCGGGAGCCGCAGGACCCATCGCAGGCAGGGTGCCCCCCCTTTGCCCACCCCCCAGTGTGTCAGCCTTGCGGGCTGCCTCCCAGAGCTGGCTGCTCCCCTCACTGGGGGACGGGTGGGGGCGTTCATCTTGTCCCTCCACACCTGCCGCCTCACCGAGGGTGACTCACTGGCCTCCCCGCCGTGCGCGCCGGGGCCTGCTTCTACTTGCCCGGGCGGGGGCCCCGTCCCAGGGCCTGCCTGGCCGAGGCCCCCCAGGGCGGGGGTGAGGGACTCGTCTCCGCACACACTCGCTGCCAGCCCCGAGCTTCCGAGCTTCCAGACCAGGCAGGAGCCAGCCTGGGGCTTCAACCCCACCCGGGGCCGGAGAGTCGCCCACTCCTCCTCTCGGTGTTGTGGGGGCATCCCTGCCGCCGCCTCTTCATCCAGGCCCAGGGTGGGTTCCTGGGGCCGGGTCAGTGGTCAGGAGCAGGGCCTGGTGGGCCGGCTCAGGTTGGGAAGGCTCCTCCCCCCGCAAGGCGGAGGCAGGCTTCCCACCTCACAGGCCCTCGCAGTGGGGCCCACCCGGGTGAGAACACGGCCCCCGGCCCATTCCGAGCCCTCGCTGCAGAGGCCCGGGCGCCGGCCCAGCGAGGAGGCCGGGCCCTGCGGGGAGGAAGACTGGGGCGGCAGGGCCTCGGGTAGGCAGCAGGCCCCCGTCGGGGGTGGGGTAGGCAGCAGACGCCCTCTTGCTCTGGGGTCTGGGGCTCTGGCCCTGCCCTGCTCCCCGTTGGGCAGCTTCGTGGGCGCTGGGGTTCCCGCGCGCTGGAGGCTGGGGCCAGGCCAGGCTGGGCCGGGGTGCTGGGTGGGGGTGCTGCGTGTTTCTCCTGGCTGTGCCTGGGAAGCGGCAGCAAGCCGGTCTGAGGGACACCGCGGGTGGAAGGCAAAGTCGCGTGTCCGGACTGGCTCTGGCTGCTTGCCGGTCCTGCCCCGAGCAGAGGACACGGAGGCCTGCGTTCAAGTTCAAACCCGACCCCACCAGCGGCCAGCCGTGTCGTTGGGGCTGCGGTGCCCGGCTGTGGCCCCCTGCCGCCCCCGTGCGGGTCCGGGAGAGGCGGTGGAACGGGCGTTCCGGGCCAGGACCCAGTGTGCAGCCAGCCCGGGGGGGGGGCGGGGGGCGGGGCCGGGCCACGGTGTCAGCCCAGGGCCTCGCGGGACGGCAGGTGGGGCAGCCCCCCAGCCCTGGACGGGCCCGCACCGGCCCGAGAGCCCTGATGACAGGGGCAGGGAGGCCGGGTGCAGGACGACAGCTGCTGGGGTCGCAGCTCCAGGCGGCTCTGCCGGAGCTGCCAGAGGCCCGCGGAGCCTCCCGCCCCGCCCCCGCCCCTGCCCCAGGGGCACCCTTCTGTTCCACAGGCGTGGACGCCGCTGCTCCGCCCCAGGGCCACTGGGCTCTGCCGGCTCACCCTGGTCCCACCGAGGCCGGGCTGCTCAGCTCGGACCGGGTGCCACCGGCAGCCCTGGTGTGGGGGGAGGCAGGGCCCCGTGAGGCCCTCGGGCCGCGTGCCTGGCCAGCGGAGGGACGTTGTTTGCGGCCTCGCTGCGTGGGGCGGGGGTGACGCCTGGTGCCGGGCGGAGAAGAAAGGGCCATTCAGGGTCTCGGGAGTGGGCGTGCGGGTGCACCCACGCTTCCGTCTCTTTGAGGAGGGACCCCAGTCCTGGAGGGCAGTGCCCGCCCCCCACTTCCTGCCTCTGGCCCGGGAGGGGCGGGGGAGGCAGGGCCCTGACCCCTGGGAGGACGCGGGGAGCAAGCCGGCCGGTCACGGCTGCCTCCTGTCCTCCCTCGGAAACGGCTCCACTTCCCGCTCTCGGCAGTCCTGTGCGTCGGGGCCCCCTTCCCCAGCTGTCCGGGGGCCGTAGGGTGTGCCTTCGGTCGGCGATCTGTGGCCCCCCCACGCAGACCCAGCCGTTCAGGCCGTTTCCACCCCGGGGGCCGCTCGGAACATCGCCGCTGGAGGCCACCCCACACGCCCCCCTGCTGGCCGGCCGGTGCCCGGGGCCTGCATGCGCTGGCCAGCTGGGCCACAGGATGGACGACACACGGGCACCCCCTCCTGCACGGGCGGCCAACCGGTGCCAGCCCCCCCCTCCCTGCAAGCCCAGCGGGTTGGAGGGGCTTCAAAGCGGGCTCCCTGGCGGCCCCTCCGCCTCTGATCAGCCTGGGCTGGCCTCCCCCGTCCTCGCAGGGCAGAGGGGAAACCAGTTCAGAGCTCGCGGCTCCGTCACCCGCAGGGGCAGCGAGGGCGGCACCCGTTTCTCCGGCCCTTGTGCCTTGTGCTGGAGGCCATGTCCCCGGCTGCCAGGAGCTACCTGCTCCTCCCGGACAGGCCCCTGGCCTCCCCCCGTCTGCACTGCCAGGCTGGCCGTTCCCAGACCAGTGGCAGTCACAAGCCCAGGACGAAGCCAGAGGCAGGTGCCCACAGCCGCTGGGCCTCCCCCACGCCTCACCTCGCAGCTGGCCCGCCCGTCGAAGCAGCCCAGACCTTCCGCCCACCCCAGACATCCCCGCCGGCCCGTCACCGTCCCTCGTCCCCGGGAAGGCCCGAGGTCACGTCCAGCTCCAGGGGCGGCCGCCGAGGGCCGTGACCTCAGTGCCCCTGCCAGCCCCGCCTCAGCCCAGGCTGGCCCTCCACTGAGCCCCTGTACCCGCGCCGGGCACCCTGTAAGCTGGGCTCACCCGCAGGGCCGCCCCTCGCGGGGCGGGGGGGGAGCGGGACACGCCCCTCAGGGTGTTCGGATGACACCCAGGGGGGAGGTGCAGCCCTCCCAACCGAGCTGCGGTCCCCGGCCAGCCCGCCGCCAGCCCCTCTCGCGGCCTCGGCAGGACCCCAGCCCAGGCTCACGACCTCTCGGCCCCAGGCCCCTTCCCAGCCTGCCCGCCGGTCTTCCGGAAGGAGCGGCTCCCGCCCCGTGCCGGTTTCTGCGTCACCCCCGGGAGCTGCCCGCTCCGGGCGCGGTGACTTCAGTGCACGTCAGAGACCCACGTGGAGACGTCGCCTGTGGCCGGTGCCTGGAGCACGCAGAGGCCCCCGCAGTGCCGGGTGGGGGGCGGTCCCGTGTGTGTCGGCACCCGCGTGGCGGGAGTGTGCGGGGAGCAGGATGGCTGGGGCCTGGCGACCTACTCCGCGCACACCCGGGAGTCCACGGAGGGCTCCCCCGGCTCCGGCTGGGGAGGTGGGGCTGAGCGGCCTCACACGGGGTCCGGGGCGGGTGACCCACGACCAGAACTTAAAGCTCTCCAAGCACACGAGAAACCTTGAGTGGTGCGTGCTCGTGTGATTGTTAAAATCTCAAATTCGGAAGCACGTGAACAGAAAGGGAAGTCCTGTTCGGGCCCTGATCACACTCTCCCACCCGGGGTGCTGGGGGCCCACGGCAGTCGTGTTCTGGAACGTTCCCTGGTTCTCGGGGTAGGGGGAGCCCTTCATGGGGGCAGGCAGCTGTTTGTTTGTTTTTTTACCGAAATCTAAGTCCACACTCGACCCGCACAGCCCTCCCTTGTCCTCTGTCCGTTCCCTGGGTTTGAAAACGGCATTTCCCTCTAACAGTGCCCGTGCCGGGGCGGGGTGGGGGGGGGGCTGTTGTTTCCCAAACCCAGGCCTTCTTTTTTTTTTTTTTTAAGATTTTATTTATTTATTTTTAGAGAGGGAAGGGAGGGAGGGAGAGAGAGAGAGAGAGAGAAACATCAATGTGTGGTTGCTGGGGGCCATGGCCTGCAACCCAGGCATGTGCCCTGACTGGGAATCGAACCTGCGACACTTTGGTTCGCAGCCCGCGCTCAATCCACTGAGCCACGCCAGCCGGGGCTCCCCAGGCCCTCTGCGTGCACGGGGCCTCCCGCAGGACAGGTGCCCGGAAGCCCTCCGCGGAGGGGTGGGGTGGGCCGGCAAGGACTGCCCTCTAGGAAGCCCAGAGCTCTGATCTGTCCCGAGGGTCCCCACCCGTGCACCGTGAGGCTGGGCCTCGGGCACGGCCTCGTGGTCTCTGCAAGTCCGCCGCCGTCTTCGCCTTTGTCACTGGGCTTCTCTGGGCTGATTCCTGGGGACACTTCCCGGGCTGAAGGTCTTCTCGGGGACCCGGGGGCCATCCCAGCCCCACCCCCGCCCCTGCTCCCCGCCCCGCCCCGTGACGGGAAATGCCGGGAA